ACTCGAATACGCCCACAGAGCGTTCGGCTGAGTGCAGTGTGCCACAGCAGAGCACGATAACTTGGCCATAGGGATCGATGCGTCCTTGTACACCAGAATGCGATAAGTTAGGATTGAAGTAGAGGCCAAATGTTTGCTTAGCCTTGACTAAGCATTCGAGCACCTGCTCAGCGCTGCAACATTTAAATTCGCTGGCTCCATCATCCGCAATGACTTTCATCTCCAGAGCTGCATCGCTCCAGAGATCGGACAGAATTAAACTATCACAATTATACTTGTTGAAGAACCATTCAACAAATTTGCGTGCCATCAGATGTATTGGGTAGTCCTGTACGTTAGCTATCTGCACTAAGGGTGTGTCCGCATGAGTGGAGTCCGGAGCTTTTGAAACTTCCCTATTTAACTGTTTGTCCCAATACTGGATTATTTTCATAACCAAATCGGCTTTTGTGAAGTCTGTTGAGGTGCCAGGTAAACGTGAATTCAGGTATCTAAATAACAGATCTCTTGTGATATGCCGCTTATGTAGAAGTTTGTGTATGTCTCCGACCTGTGTTATAACGTAACCTAAAGCCTCTGTGAGGGAGAGAAAATTTGTTCACCATTGTTCGTAAAATTGTATTTTTTGTTTTTACCTTCGGGCTCATCTATGCTGCATACATTTTTTGTTACACTCCTTGCCAGTTGCAGAAGCACGGGTATATTTGTTTCATTACACAATAGATCGCGCAATCCTGAGCGATGTTGTTCCGATATGGACATGTTATTAATAGCAATTGTTAATATTTAGAAGAAAAGCATTTCCAAACATTTGTCGTTTGCAAGCCAGCTGAGACACCGCTTAAAGTGTGACCATAATCACTTATAATCAGAATAACTTTTTTGCACATTTATGTGCACACTGGTTGATAGTGCTGTAAAATGTGCATATCATAATTAATTACAAACTAAACGCAATTAATTTTGTATTTAATTTGCACGGTTTTAATAAACTTAATTTTACAAGACTAACAACTGAAAAGGTCTTATATTTGGTTATATATACTAGTCACGCACTCATCCCTGCATAAACGCCGATTTTCTTGATTCGCTATCACACGCTGATTCGCAATAAATATTTACGTTTTGCAAAACGGGTTTTTATAGGTATCGGGTACATAGTACAAATAGCTTTGCCACTAACCGAGGGGCTGGGCCTTATCTCTTATCGTAATCGTGTACGACAAAAATGTCTGCCACAATCGAACAACAGTTGTAAAGCCAACAAATTTCGCTGGTTTATTTAGTGTCTGTGCATACGTAACTCAAGGAAAAGGAAAAGTAAGGAAGGAAAAGCTTGGACAATGGATACCGGCAGCGAGTCAGCGGATGTAAACATGAGTGGTCCCTTTATTGGCGCCATCGATGAGGGCACCACATCGGCACGGTTTATGATCTTTCGGGCAGGCACCGATGATATTGTTTGCTACCACCAAATCGAGGTGCCGTCCATTTTTGTGAAGGAAGGTTGGTGTGAACAGGATCCACGGGTCATTACCAACACTGTCAACGAGTGCATTGAGGGGGCATGCAAAAAGCTCGTTGCACTAGGTGGCAATGTCAAGGTGAGCATTATTTTACGACATTCATGGAAAGGGTTAGACTTATATGAAAAGCAAGCATCACGACTAGGCGTACCTTATTAAAACGATCTTTTATTGACAAACACATGGACACGTATAGAGTAAGGATTATGCTGATGCTTTTATGCAACAGTTACGCAGGAAGGTGCGATAGATTTCCGCCTCGTCAATGCGCTCCTGGAGCGTGCGTGGTGGCAGATTCTCAACTCGCTCGTCCAGCTTCACATAGATTTGATCGTTGTGCCCGAAGTCACCATTGCGACGGGGCATAACATGGAAGTGTACGTGTGGCACTGTCTGACCGGCATTGGCGCCATCCTGCACGGTGACGGTCGCTGAGGTGGTGCCATAGATAGTCTCTAGCACTCGTTGCACCAGGCAAACAGTGGCAAATAGATCCGTCACCTCTGCACAGTTGAGTCCATTGAGCCGTGGCGTAATCCTCTTCGTGGAGACCAGCACGTGACCCTCGACGACGCAGCGCAAGTTGGTGAAGGCCCAACAGTGCTCGGACTCGTAAAATATGGTTCGCTTGTCCACGGTGTTGTTTGCAAAGGAGCGATCCTCTCCATACTCCGCACTGGATGGACTCAGATTGAAGGCGGTCAAGCTGTAGATGTCGTTGCGTCTATGCTCGAAGCATGGCATGCTCTGGTATATCTTAGCCAGTTGCGACAAGTCGATCTCGGCTATACCTACGGCTAGCTTTTCCTCGCCGCCACAGTCCGCAAGAACGACGCCCCATGGATTGATTATCATGGCGTGACCCCAGCTCTGGCGTTTCTTATTATGCCAGCCTTGCTGTGCTGCAGCGATCACAAAGCACTGGGTCTCAATGGCACGAGCACGAAGCAGAATCTCCCAGTGGGCTTTGCCCGTCGCATGGGTAAAGGCTGCCGGATAGGTGAGCACCTGGGCGCCCAGTTTGCGAAGCAGCAGTGCGGGCTCTGCGAAGCGCAGGTCATAGCAAATCTGCAGACCCACCTGACCAGCCGGCGTGGCCACTGGTTTCTCTAAGCGCTCGCCCGGTGCCACTGTATCCGACTCGCGCAGGCGTATCTCTTTTGTTGTCGCATCGAAAAGATGCAGCTTGCGATAGATGGCCGCCACCTCACCCAGATCGTTGAGCACGACGTGCGTGTTATATATCCTTTGCTCCGCTTTGTCATCTGATGTTGTTGTGGATGCCTTTAACTCGTGTATGCCGCCCAGAGATAACCACATCTGGTGACATCTGGCCAGCTCCTTGTATTTGGCCATCAGCGGTCCGTCCAGCGACTCGACCAGCTGAAACGTCTCGCTGCGATTCTCACCAACAAAATCACAGCATTCCGGCAGGAAGAGCATTTTAGCTTTTTTCTGAGCTGCAAGCAAAACTAGCTCTTCCACTTGCTGCAAATTGCCGGCTTTATCGTTCGTGGACTGCATTTGGCCAACGGCCACAATGCTCGGGCCACCGATGGCTAAGCCGCCACTCGGTAGAGCTGACATAATGCGCAGCTGCTGTTTGTTTCTGCCGCTGTTGCTGATTCTGATTATCGGGACGACACTTCGACTGAAAATTTTGACTATGTTTGACATCGAGACGAACAAACAAAAGGCCGATCGAAACTTAACAAGTGTTACGCAGTTAAATTTAGTATATTGTGTACATATATATTTCTCTTATCAGCTGGTTTTTGTCGTCTTCATTTTTCTGTTGATTGGGCGTCTAGTGCTGCCACATCGCTACAAATGGAGAGCACAAAACGGAATGACTAATTTTGAAATACTTGCTTCATTGGAATGCAAAATCTTGCACAACACTGGCAGCTTCACTGCTTTTGCACTTGTCTCTATTCCCTTATCAGCCGTTGGGTCATTATATTTTGTTTATTGTACAGTATTGCCATCCTTTATATTTCCATAGTCATTTAGTGCTGCCGTACAGTGCAAAACTTGAAACTTAGTTTCGCGCCAAGGGCTTGGATTCCAGAAAGTGAAGAGTTATTTAAAGGTCAAAAAACAAATTTATAAAACTATAATATTTTGTAATTTATACTTGCTATAATTAAGTATTTTTTAATTGTAAACATTCGTATTTTCAGGACATTTTGGCAATTGGCATTACCAATCAGCGCGAGTCTACATTGATTTGGGATAAGAATACAAGCGAGGCGTTGGTAAATGCCATTATTTGGCTGGACAATCGAACCACCAGCACTGTGGAGGATTTGCTTGAGACAATACCGAATAATGCGCGCAACATTAACTATTTGCGACCATTGTGTGGCCTGCCGCTTTCGCCATACTTCTCGGGCGTTAAACTGCGCTGGCTGAGGGATAATGTGGCGACTGTGAAACGGGCAATGGATGCAGGCGACGCCATGTTCGGCACCATTGATACATGGCTGATGTACAATCTAACGGGTGGCGTGAACGGAGGCGTGCACAAGACGGATGTGACTAATGCATCACGCACTATGCTAATGAACATCGAGACGCTGCAATGGGATGGAAATCTGCTGAAATTCTTCGGACTGCCAAGAAGTATTCTACCAGAAATCTGCTCCAGCGCCGAGCATTTTGGCGTCATTGCTTCGGGTTCGCTAAAGGGCATACCCATCACAGCGGATTTGGGTGATCAGCAGGCTGCGCTGGTGGGCCAACAGTGTCTGTCCAAGGGTCAAGCGAAGGCCACCTATGGCACCGGTTGCTTTTTGCTGTACAATACGGGTCCATCAATAGTTCATTCCCAGCATGGATTGCTCACAACGGTGGGCTATCAACTAGGTCGCAAGGCCACGCCCTATTATGCCCTGGAAGGCAGTGTGTCCATTGCTGGCGCCGCCTTCAATTGGCTAAGAGATAATATTGGCCTTATACAGAACACGGGCCAGATCGAGACGATGGCCAGCATGGTGGATAACTCTCTGGATGTTTACTTTGTGCCCGCGTTCAATGGCCTGTATGCACCTTATTGGAATCAGGATGCAAGGGGCGTGCTATGTGGCCTGAGTGAGGAGACAACCAGTGAGCATATTGTAAGAGCTACGCTGGAGGCTGTTTGCTTCCAGGTGCGCGACATACTTGATTCCATGCACAAGGATTGCAAAATACCACTCGCTAAGCTGATGGTCGATGGCGGCATGACTGTCAATAATCTGTTCCTTCAGCTGCAATCGGATCTGGTTGGCATTCACGTGCTGCGCGCCAAGATTGCGGAGACCACAGCGCTGGTAGGTTGACTCATTGACCGAAACCTCATTCTGGACAGTTTTTGATTACTTCTTTCATCTCTTCCAGGGAGCTGCAATGGCTGCCTATAAGACCATTGCTCCACAGTATAATATGGAAGGCCCGTTGTCAAAATCGGATGAACGCGATGTTGTAAAGCCGAAGATCAATTCCACGGAACGCAATTTGCGTTACCAGAAATGGAAGATGGCCATCGAGAGATCTCTGAACTGGGAGACCTCCTCGCTTGTTCAAGGCGAACGCGAATCCTTTGATGGCGTCTAAGTTGCGGCAGCTTCCAAAAGCATAACCATGGCAAATTGTATTTAATTCAATAAAATATTGTTTTGTTGTTGAAATTGAAGCAAATTATGCTGTACAGGAGGTCTAAATGAAGACTCTCCGTCGAGGAACTACTCAGTAACAACAATATCTATAAGAAGCAGACGACCTGAAAGGGTAGCTGCTAATGCATTCGAGTTGCTGTTCTCCTTTTTTGGCAGACGTATAAATGGTATGTTATAATTTATGTGTTCGTTATATTTCGATAGTGTATACAAAAAGTTCGGTTTCAAAACGTACAAAGCCTTGCTTCGAGAGGGTGCGTGCAGCTAAGATGGCAGTGTATAAACTCCAACCCTTGGGGTCGATCCCTACACGTGTTCATCAACGATGCCGGGTGGAGCATTTGCTGCGGCTGCATGATCCTGCTCGTTTAGCACGACGCCGCCGGCGGCTTCATCCACAGCAACAACAACATCAGCCGCCACGCCCGCACCAACCAGGCCAACAGCAGGTGCAGCCAGATCAACATGAGCATTCACGACAGCTATGGCGGGCGGTGGAATGGGATTGCCACCTAGAGAGTGAATACCACATAGTTATCAAGCATATAGATGGGAAGTCGCGCTAAGTCGTACTCACTTGCATCTAGTTCCAGAGGCGGATCGGCATTCGCCTCGGCGAGATTCGTAACAGACTTGGACTTAACGCACTGGAAATCGACATGACGGCTTTTGGCTTCCTCCTTCTCCCACGACATGTGTATGAACGGACGCTGAACGTAACTATAAATGACTTCAGCTCGGCCGCCAGGACGTCGACGTATCTTCTCTTTGTGTGTGGGATAACCCTCAATGCCGCATCGTATTTTCTTCAATCCTCGATCTTTCATCACCTGCTTGGCCACATCACGGTTCTCGATGTACTTGAAGAAACGATGCATGGCAGTGCTGTGCACAGCTGCAGATAGCGAATGATGAGAAATAAAACATATTTATATGATATTTATGGCATACTCTGGCAATACTCCTCGCCCATTTGCGGGGGGAATTCCTCATCCCAGTCGACCATGTCGTCATCGAGCAGTACTACGACATGGCACTCGCGATCGCCGCGCTGTGCTGAGGCAACCATTAAAGGCAATATCAGATCCTCAAGAAAGACTTCGAACTGCTGGCGGGCTCCCTCGTTGCTCAGCTCATGAAGCAGGCCTCCTTTTTGGTGTAGCACAGAGAGATCAAGTAAAAACAAACGAGAAAAGCAAGAAACGGGGGACGGCACTTGACTAAGAGACGCCCAGCTGCAGCAGCAACAACATACTCACTTAGATTCTGGCAGCGCACAGTGGTCGCGTCGAAGGGTATTAGCAGATAGTCGCATGCTTCCTTCAGCTCAGGCACCGATACAGTGGGCGGACAGCGAATAACTCCACTTTTGTAATACTCCAGTATAGAACGGAATACCAAGTGAGATATGCCATCCGCTAATTCATATTCACCGCGCTCATTGGGATGTACAAATTGAAAGCCTGTGCCAAACATCGTTCCCAACATGGTATTGGGATGTGCAGTGAGCAGAGTTTGCTCCACTGTGAAGCGTACGCCATCCACCAACATCGATATGCGCTCCGGTGGACCCAGACGCACTGCAGCAGCTGCTGCTGCAGCGGCGGCCGCGGCTGCGCTGCTTGTCGTTGGTGTCATCGACTTGTCATGTTTCGAAATCGCACCACTACTCACGCTCATAGCGGTGTGCTGCTGTCTCTGCATGTAGGTGCTGCTGCGACTGCGATTCTTTAGGATGCGCCTACGACGCTCCTCGGCAGCCTCTAAATTCTCTTCGATGCTGCTGCTGTCACTGTATGTATCCTGTTGCTGTTGTTGCTTTTGCTTATTATTGTTGTTATTGTTGCTATTACTACCACTACTATTGGAATTTGGAGTTGTTGACATTTTTCAGGAATTTTTATTCGCACTCGACCGAACAAAAAAAAACGTTTGTTCGAGAACTTTATTCCAGCAAAGTGCAGACAAAGAAATGCATTTGCACTAGCACAGCTTCGTGTGGACGGTTTCACCAAAGTGCTTATCGTTTGCTTTAATCTGTAAGTCGCAATAACTATTTGCCAGCGAGTATCTCCTTACATTATTTTATGATGTAAAAAAATTTGTGCGAACTGTTTTTTGCGCTTCTGTATATTCTCTTCGTTTGCTGTTTTTTTTTTTTTTTTTTTTTTTTTTTTGGTGGTTGACAGTTATTCGATAACAAATTGCCAGTGACATCGGCGCGACCATCAAAGGTTCATTTATGATAAGTCGACAACAAGCGACATAATTAACAACAACACAGAAACAACCAAATATTTAAATACTTTGACTTCTCAAACATTGACTTGCTTAGCTCTCAATAAATGTAAGCATTTAATATTATTTTATTGTGCGCGGTATTGGTTCCGCGAACCAAGGATTGAAGCTGGTTTCGATAAGTAAAAGAACGAACTAACAAAAGCAGAGAGCCGCTATCGATAATCGATTCCGGTACAGCTCTAATAATCGATAAGCCGAAAAGCAAAATGGCAGACGTAGAAAAGGAAACCGAGAAGAAAATCTTGTAAATAATCCGTAAAAAAATTGCATATTTGTCGCAAACATTATGCCAATTGCGCGAAACGCGAGTGCATAATAAATGTAATGTGCAGTTTGTGTGCTAGATCTATTTCAACGACCACAAAGTGCTCGCGTGTGTGTCTGCGGCGGCAAAAGCAAAGCCCAGAGTAATATATCTCAATCGAAATTCGCTCGAACGCGACAACCAAAACAGGCAGCAAACAAAGCAACAAATGTGGCGACAATGCCAACCAGCGGGCACGGGCATAATTTCGCATGCATTCTTAAAATGTGCAATTTGCAAAAACAAATAATATTACTACAATAAAAAGTAAGAAAAAAAAAATAGGTGCAAAAACGTCGAATCGAATGTGAATGAAAGAGGGGGGAGCAGTGAGCTGAAGAGCGGATGAGACGTTTGCACAAAAGCTGACGGCTGCAGCACGCACGGTCACTTCCATCTCGCTCACACCAATGCCGCGAATGCGCGCGCCCTTAAAACGAGCGTGCGAGATAGATGGATTTTTTGGGATGGCATTTAATGTGTTGTTTGCGTTACACAGCAGTCAGCTTTTGTTATGCCACACGCGTTTTGATATTTTCCTTTTTACTGTCAGTTTCAGGTTTTTTTCTTCTCTTTTTTGTGTATTTTTTGTGACGAAAAGCGCATAGAAAATGTACAAGAAAAAAGTTTGCAAATCGAAAATCGGTTAGTCGCAAATATAATTTAACTGTGTTCTTTTCGTTTAGGCGGGCAGTGAACAAAATAATAGTGTAAGCTTTTGCATACACTCATACACACACACAGAGACAAAGTGCGTGCAAAAACAAAAGTAGTGAAGCAAACGGTCGAAGAAACAGAAATCGAAGGAGGGGGAGCGGTAGCGCGCATCTATTGCTTAGAGCAGTGCATTGCACAGACTGCAAAGTGGCGGCGCTACTCGGGATTAGTGCTGGTGCAGCGGCAGCGGCGTCCATGTTAAACGGGCGGCAGCAGCAGCAGCACAACAACAACAAGAACTATAATTACAACAATAACAATAACAATTCAATTAACAACAACAACAAACAGCAGCGGAGCTCGCAACAACTGCAACAACAACAGCCGGCGGTGTGGCTGTGGTGTCGCCAATTGTGGCCTTAAGCATGTAGTAAGAAATGTCCATAATAAATTGCATCACTTAATTAACAACTGCCCTTCCTGCACCTCCGTTCAACCCATCCATAGGTCGCAGTTGAGCAAGAAAAGCGGGCGGTCTAAGTAGCACAAGTCGAACCCCTGAGCGCAGGAGGTTCCACAAGGCAAAACCAATAAAATATATACACACACCCACACAAACAAAGAGAAACAACACACAAATGAAAAATGTCACAAAGAGGTAAGCGCGGTAATCAGCAGCAGCAGCAGCAGCAACAGCTGCAGCAGCAGCCGCCGCAACAGCAGCAGCGACAAGACGTTGAGCCGCAGCCGCCGCCCACAAAGCGACGAAAAGGACGGCCGCCCAATGGAGCACCGGCGACAGCAACAGCGTCATCAACAGCAGCAGCAACAGCGACAACATCAACAACAGCAGTTGCTGCTGCAGCAACAGTTGCTGTCAGCGACCAACCGTCAATATCGAAGCTGCCGAGCAAGGCCAAATCGGCCAGCAAAAGTAAAGCGCAAAGCAACAGCAACAATAATAGCAATAGCAACAACAACAGCAACAACAATAACAGCAGCAACACCTGGCAAGCGCGCTCCGTGGCCGATATCAAAATGTCGAGCATCTATAATCGAAGCTCAACCGAAGCGCCAGCTGAACTGTATCGGTAAGTCCAAGAGAAATCAGTATATAAATATAAATCTATAAAACTTACTTCTAATATGCCCTTATTTTTTGCTCTATTACAGCAAGGATCTCATTAGCGCAATGAAATTGCCAGACTCAGAGCCATTGGCCAACTCCGAGTATCTGATTGTAACTGATCAATGGAAACAGGAATGGGAGAAGGGCGTACAGGTGCCCGTCAATCCCGATTCGCTGCCCGAGCCGTGTGTCTATGTGCTGTCCGACCCAATCGTATCGCCAGCGCATGACTTTAAACTGTAAGAAATTGGTTAAACCAAAGATATTCCTATATATGTATAGGTAGGGAGTACTACGTTCATATATTTTCATTCTTATTGCAGTCCAAAAAATCGTTTCCTGCGCATCACCAAAGACGAACATTACTCGCCGGACCTGCATTGTCTGACGAATGTTGTTGCACTGGCGGAGAACACATGTGCCTATGACATCGATCCCATCGATGAGGCTTGGCTGCGATTATATAATGCCGATCGTGCACAATGTGGAGCATTTCCCATTAACGAAACGCAGTTCGAGCGGGTCATCGAGGATCTGGAGGTAGATTGTTATACGATAAAGCTAAAAATCTTGACCAATGCTCGATTATCTCTTGACTAGGTTCGCTGCTGGGAGCAAATCCAGGT